TTTTCTTTTTGCTTATGTGGTGCTGAGGAATTGAACCCAGGGCCTCAGGCATGCAAGGCAAGCGCTCTACCACTGAGCCACCTTCCCAGCCCCTGGTTCGTTACTTTTGAGGTAGGATTTCCCTTTACATTTAGGCTGGCCTGGGCTTTGATCATACTATTTATGTTTCTCCATCCATATCCCTGGGAAGAAGTATGACAGGTACAAGCCACCATGACCAGCTTTGTCCAGAGGAAATCTCCTGAACATCTTGCCTGATAGCCTCAAACTGTGATGATCCCTTGATCTCTGTCTCCCAAATAGTCTGGATTACAAGGCTGAGCTACAGTGCCTGGCTGAGTTGACTAGTATTTCTCTTTTCTTCTGCTTTTTTTTGTTTGTTTGTTTTTGCCAGTCTTAGGGTTTGAATTCAGGGCCTGGGCACTGTCCGTGAGCTTCTTTTGCTCAAGGCTAGCACTCTACCACTTGAGCCACAGAGCCACTTCTGGCTTTTTCTGTTTCCATGGTACTGAGGAATTGATCCCAGGGCTTCATGCATGCTAGGCAAGCATCTGCCACTAGGCCACATTCCCAGCCTGCCTTTTCTTTCTTTCTTTTTAAAAGAATTTCTGTGCCTGTTCTGGGGTTTGAATTCAAGGTCTAGACATTATCCTGGAGCTTTTTTTGCTCAAGGCTAGCACTCTACCACTTGAGCCACAGATCCACTTCCGGGTTTTTGGTGATAAATTGGAGATAAGAATCTCAGGACTTTCCTGCCCAGCTAGTTTCCAACCATGATCCTCAGATCCTAGCCTCCTGAATAGCTAGGATTACAGGTGTGAGCAACTGATGCCCAGCCTAATTAGTATTTTTATAGAGAACATAAACTGAAGCTGTAAAGTTTCCCTGATTTAAATATCTGAACTCAGTATTTTAAAAAAAGTTTATTGGAAATCAGACAATTTTTTTTCCCTCACCATTTCTGAACTCTGGGCCTGGGCACTGTCCCTCAGCTTTTTAGCTCAAGGCTAGTGCCCTACCACTTGCCACAGTGCCACTTCCAGCTTTTTTCTGCTTATGTGGCGGTGAGGAATCAAACCCAGGGCGGGCCTCATGCATGAAAGGCAAGCACTCTACCACTAACTGAGTATATATTATGTCTAGTACATATTATATCTTAAAATTTCAACATACACTGTAATTAACACTGTACCTTAACTGCACCTGTACTGTGAAGTCACATTTGGTCCCAGAAATATCCCTAAAATAGAATAAGAATTATAATTACTTTAAAATCTGTATATAAAATACTTTAAAAACATGTACAGATGCTCTGAAACAGTTTTTCAAATTTTCAAATATGCTAGTTTATAAAGTAAATAACACTAATAGTATTTTCAACACTAATTTTGCATGACAACAACATTAAATCACCTAACAATACTGTTTGTTTTTTAAATTTATTTTTGGTGCTGAAAATTGAACCCAGAGCCTTTTACATGCTAGGCAAGTACACTAATGCTGAGCTGTATCCCCCAACTATCATGTTTCAAAATTCATTTAGTACAGATAGTACTCAACTGCAAACTCCAATTATATAGGAAGACAACTTACATGGAACTACTGATTTGCTGCACTTGTTGTGGTGTCAAGGCAAATGCAAAACAGGTTTCTCGAAAGCGCTGACTGTTGTCTGATGCTAAAGAAGACAAGAATTGTATTTTTAATGAACTTTAAATTTATCAATACAGCAGGCAGTAGTAAAAAACACATCTTTAATTAACCAGGAGGAATTCTATAATAAGACAAAATATTCAACAGTAAGAAATATACTAGATGTAATAGAACAAACAGAAAAGTTCAGAAAGGGCTAGTTCTTGAAATACAATAGGATTTAACTTCTGAGAATACATAAACAAAAATGAATAAAAGATTATTTAAATCATGTATGGTTACAAGCCCAGAAGTACATTTCTGTAAATGTATACTAACCCATGCTAAGATATGCATAGATGAGATGACATTTGGTCTTCAGGGCAAATAAAGAATTTTATCTTGGTGTGAGGGAGGGGTGGGGGGGAGATGGGAAGGGATACTAAGGGGAAACAAAGGAGGAGGCAACAATGCTTGATAAGAAATGCACTTATTATCTTGCTCATGTAATTGTAACCCCTCTGTATGGTATTTTCACAATAAAAAAAAAGAATTTTATCTAAACTCAAAATTTTAGACTAAACTCAAATTCATAATCCCCTGCCTTCATTTCCCAACTTTCTACAAGAAAAGGCTCATTAAGAATTATTACCAAGGAGTTCTTGGTCTGTGGCTGTGATATGCTAATAATGCAGCTGAAGTTGGCTGGTTCAAACCTGAGTGTGCTTCTACTGCAAACAGTACTTTCTCAACAACTACCACCCATTGTAGTATGTCATATGAAAATTCTGTACAAAATAAAAAATGAAAAAGGGGGCTGAATTAAAAAAAATCGTACAAATGTACCCTTATGAGAAAAGTAGAAAAAGGGAGGACTGATCTAAAGTTTTGCCATGCCAGAAGTATTTCTTTTTCATTGGTCACGGGGCTTGAACTCTGGGCCTGGGCGTTGTCCCTCAGCTCTTCATCTCAAGGCTAGCACTCTACCTCTTGAGCCACAGCACCACTT